CAAGTTACATTAAATGGTTAATTGTTTGAATTATAAATAATTAAGATATGCATTATTACAAACAGAAGTTCTATAAAAGAAATTTCTGGCCTTCGGCAAAGTTGAATGATTTCAATATTTTTTTGTTGTAATACTGAAGAGTGATGTGATGAAGGTTTGCTAGGCCACAATTACAAAAAGATTTTTCTAGATTTTTTATTCGTTCGTTGTGGTTGTGTTTGTAGTAAGTAGCTCTTATCGTATATTAATATATATAAATATAGTTGTAAATAATTATTTTGAGATGGTTCAACAAAATTTTGATTATCTAAATTTCACAAGCAGATGATAATATTTGTAGCTCAATATACAAAATCAAGAATATAATTTTTTTGGATTATTCCCGAATTTTTCTCTTCAAAAAAAGGCAGCCAAATCATGAACGTAACCAAGTCTTTATCAATGCCATCGTCTAAAGCAATTGGATAAATAATAGAGAATTTAATGTGTATACAAATTATAAAGAATAATAATTTTTCAAATTTTCATTATGAAAATAGCACATACCAAAAATCATCATTTCTCATCCAAATACAAGCCACACTCTATGACGAACCTTCCGTTTCCTATATGTAATTTTTCTGCTTTTGTTCGTTAGAGAGAAACAAACGCGAGGTTCAAATTCATTATAATATTATTAAATATATTAAAAATACTTTTTATTAGATATATATGATTTATTATAATTTATTAAATAAATGTATTGAAAAATATATTATAATTCACTATATTATTAATTTATTAGATATAATTCATTGTATTAATTTAATTTATTAAATGTACACATATGTATATATTAAAAATTATAGGATTAATTAAATTTCCAACCCAATTATTTTTTTTTTCTCCCAATTCAATATTTTTTTTCCCCCAACCCGCTTGATATTTAAAAAAGGAGCAACTGCGGCGAACCACAATCACTCCAACTACAAAAAATTACGCGCTCGAGATACCCATAAGGATATTCGGAGTAGTAGTCACCAGGCGTTGTGCAATGCCAGCAACCATCACCCGTACCGCCACCTTCTTGGTCATGGCAGTACCGCGCCAGGTAAGTATGAAAATCAAATGTCACAAAACTAGTTCATTTATGTATAAATCCAAAAATTATGGGATTTTTTTAATATTTTGTGCGACTTACTATTATAATTTTTACGGCAATTTTTTATATTAATATTATTAATATTAACAAAATGTCTTCACCAAGACCAAAAAAACATCATAATAAAAAAAATGAAGAAGATAGCCATATAAAAAAACATCACAAGAAAAAAAGTCATAAACGACAACGACATTCTGATAATGATTCAAATGAAGATATCAAATATCCAAAAGGATTTAAATGTATTATAATAATAATTGATATATAGTTTAATTTATTAAAACAAGATTTGATAATAGCAAAAAAGTCTATTAATTCCATACATAAAGACTCACGCTATCATTATTTAGATATATCAGAAGATGATTATTATTTAAAATCAACAGAATTTCGTCTTTGGCTGAGAGAATATAAAGAGAAATTTTTTGATGAAATGAAAACTGAAGAAGCTCATCGATACTTTAAAAAATTTGTGAATTATTGGAATAAAGTTAAATTAGACAGTTAGTATATACACTTGTATAAAGTTTTTATAATCTTTTTATTGAAAAATAAAAAATAAAAAATAAAAAAATTATTTATAGAAAAATATTATGAAGGAATGCGTTCTTCACAATTAACTAATTCAGAAGGTACTAGATATAAATGGAATATTAATGTAAATCAGGATGAACTTGATGTTATTAAAAACTCTGTAGATAGACAAACAAATGTAAAGTTTGTTACTGAAGTACAAATGAGGTCAACAAATAACAGGAGTAATGATGAGTCAAGATCTTCTAGAGTAATTGGTAATAATAACATTCACAAATTAGATATATTTAATGGATTAGGATTTCTTATTATTGTTAGTAATATAAATATTTTTTCTTAGGCCCAACAATGCCACCTCCAACAACTAAAAGATCTTATGATATTGACGAAGGTATATTTGCCTGACTTTAAATATTCTTTTTTATTCTCATAATAAACTAATTAAAAAATTATGTATGAATGTTTTAATTCTTATTGAGATTTTCAGGAATGGATGAAGAGGATAAAGAACGTTATGAACGTTCTTTAAAAAAAAAGGAACAAAGAGAATTTAGAAAAACTCATAATGCTGTTTTGGATGAATTGTTACCAAAACCTACAGGTAGTATTATTTTATATATATATATATATTTATAATTTTATTATATATACTTTTACAAATTATATATAATTATATATAATATATAGGTAGAGAAGCAATGATTGAAAAGAAAAAAGTCAAAAATGCATATTATAGAAGAGAAACGAGTCCAGATGTTGAATTAAATGATGATGATTTAATTGGTGGTGGTGATGATTTTCAAACAAGGTAAAGTTGGGATTAGGACATACATTTGCATATGATATGATGTGCATAAAGTGTTCAAAGTAGAGTATATGCTTCAACATTGAAAATTTACAATAATAGAAATTTCATATCAAATTGTTTCTTCTGCAGCAGTTATGTATGTTTCCTTGATATCTTCTTGTAATTGTATATTTAATATTATTATTATGGCAGTTTCTATTTGTACACTACGTGTGTAAACACGGTGTTGCGTTGCATATGCATCAATGAATAAACATATTCTAATAAGAAAAATTTACCATGATATGACACTGATAATATTGCTTATATGTAGATATTATTGCATGTTTAAAAGGGCAACTCACTCCCCCCTAATGCTTATATTTTCATAACAAGAAAAAAAGTTATAAAAAAAAGTTAATTTTTTTTATTGATGCAAATTTTATTATGTAACGCACGTGACACGTGTACATACACTACGTGTTTGCTAAGAAATTTTCTATTATTATTATTGATTATGAGAAAAGCAAAATGATACCAATCATTTGTTTATTATCATCAAGGATTTCTATAATAATTACCTAAAGAGACAGACAAGTTCCGTTCCATTCACGTTTTGATTTCAATAATATACGTTTATATAAAATAAAAGACACATATCAATAGATTTATAAAACAATAAATACACAAAAATAAAAATAATGTACCTCTCGTCTCAATAAATAACACTTTGTCTTCTTTAAGAGAATCACACCACACAACATTTATATTTCCTGTAAAAAAAATCAATCGCGTCAAAAAAAAAAAAAAAAAAAAAATCGAAAAAAAAAGATAAAAAGATGCATAATTCGATAAGAGAAAGAAGTAACAGGAAACAAAAAATTAACGAAAAATTTTTAGTCGAGTAAGTGTTGTTCACTAAAAAGAATGGCAGTTATTGCCATTCTAGTTAACATTAAAATTTTCTTTTATTTATTCCTTAGTAATGGATCATCTTCATCTGTGAGTAAATTACATTCTCTTCAAATAACAAGACTGGTTATTCGTTTAATTTCTAATAAAATTTTTAATATCATATAAAATGGATTAACATTCTCAGCTCGAAAATTTGAGTACTTACGTTATAGAAAAATTAGGAAAGAATATAAATCCTAATAATTTAAATGGAGAATGTGAAAGATTGGATGCTCTTAAAAAATCAATAAATGACCTATATAGCGAGTCTATGGAAATTTGGAATGAACGATACAATGAAGTTGATGTCCTTAGAAAGGTTAATGAAATACAAGTCACTAATGATATTTGTGCTTCATTTGTATTATTTTTTGTCAACTCAACACATTTTTATTTTTTGAAAGTCTGGAGGTATTCAAAACCCTGTTAACGATGAATCTATTATAGTTGATGAACCTACTGTAGTTGATGAGTATCCTGTTAATGATGAACCTACTATTGTTGATGAAGATCCCGTTAATGACGAACTTATTAATGATGAACCTATTATTAAAGATCCCACTGATAAACATATTATTCCTCCAGGTATGTAATTAATAATAGACTGAAACCTTTATTCTTTTTAAAACCATGTATATTTTCTTCATTATCAACAACGTAATCTTTGATTATAATAAAGAAGGAAATGGTATTGGAAGCGGTAGAACAAAAATCGTCGTAGAATAATTCATAACAATAACATATTCAAAAAATAACTAAATCTGACATTAGAAGAATTGCTCGTAGAGGAGGCGTAAAACGAATTTCTAGTACTTGCTATGAAGATACTCGCGATACATTAAAGTTGTTTCTTAAAAGTGTAATTGAAGTATGTAACAACAATTATAATGACAAATTATGGACGTTAATAATAACAATTTTTCATATATTATGAACTCTTTTTTTTTCTTTAGGATGCTGTCATTTATACAAATCTTGCAAAACGTAAAACAATAAAATATATGGATATTGGTAAGTTGATTTACAGTATGTTATTATGTATAGATTTATCTATATTATATATCGCAACTTCTTTTATTCTGTTAAATTATTTCCTTAACAGTTTATGCACTAAAAAAGCGAGGAATACATTTTTATGGATTTAATAGATAAATTATATGTCAAAATTTTTTTTTTAATAATTTACTAGTATTATTAGCATCAATTATTCAAGCAAGTTTCTTGACTTTCTGTTTTTAATAACAAGTATTATGAGGAGCAAAGTATGAATTAATTAATTTTATATTTTCTGGCAAATGTGAACAAATTATTGATGTTAATAATTCTCAGATTAGCAACATACATAATACACATTCATTAAAAAGTTAATTGATTTTAGATCATGATAAAGAAATTATTGGCAGTCTCATGTTGAAATGTTAGTGATCGATTTACAGAGCAGTGAACTAAATGACTATGTATTGTGGAAGAGCAGTTGAATGTACTGAACAAGTCTGAAACGAAACATATCCTAGTACGATGCTGTAATTAATTTCATGTGTTATTTATTAATTTTATTGAAATTACATGAATTTAAATTACAGTGTGGTCGACTAGCCCTGTTGTCACATGATTGAAATCGAACTTGTTCATGAATTTTGAACCAAACTCGTGAATACAGTTCATTTCATGAATATAAACACTCATGTATTTCATAAAATATTTTATCTATACGCTATGTTTCATCTCTCTACTGTTAATATTAAAAACAGTTTAGGAGTTTCGGAAGTTTAGAAATTTGGGCTCATTTTCTTAACTAGTTTAGAACAGATTTAATTTCGAACAATTCTAAACTCATGAGTTTTGGAGGGCAGGCCTAATTCAAATATTATTAATATCTTTGTAACCAACCAAATTAAATTCTAACATTAATAACATGAATATCTGCATTACAATAAAAATGGCTAATTAGCAATAATATCATTTGATCCCTGAAGTTCTTGGTGATACCAATGTTCACTTTGTCTGGTTGTGTTGCAGCATGCCCCATATATAAAATTTGAAATCTTTGGTCCATAATGAGATCTTGCAGTTTGCGGGATTAACATGATTACACAGTGAGTCTCGGTATAGCAGATTTGGGGGTTTGGCGGATAAATTTTCAAAACCAAATTTTTCTATAACAATTTTATCTCAGTTTAACGGATTTAACGGATTTTTCATATAAATTCAGTTTACCGGATATTTTTTAAAAATTCATATTAATATTAATATATGTCACTTATAATAATAATAATAAATTTTTCTCGATATTACGGAATAAAGATGATCTTTACTATTTTGGGCTAATAAGAGTAATGACGCGCAATTATTAAATATTAATATCAAGAATGTAAAATAAATTATAATAATCAGCAATACGTCCACAATTTAATCTAACATATTTCTTGGCAATGACACCATCAATATGTCATTTCCTTTTATTTCTTTATATGCTAAAATCGTAAATATTGTAAAAGGACAAATTGAAGTTGATGACGATGAAACAAATGAAACAAATGAACCTGAGCTGATGATCATTAATATGGAAGCTATAAAAGTTCCGGAAACTATACTTGAATATGTACAGCAAAAATTTTTAGATATTTATTTTCAAGTAATTAGAAATGTCAAAAGATTAAAAAGTGAAATTTCTTACAAAAATTCTCAAGAACAAGTACAAACAAGAATGGAAGATTATTATAATGTCAACGTTTTAAGTGAATGAATTGTATTTTTTACCAACTGTATTTTTATTATCATTATTATTTGCATTCATATTATTAAAAATAAAATTAATTTTTTACGTAACATGTATTACATGATTTAATCAAAAATTCGATTTTTTACGGATATCTCGGTATTATGGATGACTCGGTATAGCGGATAAATTTCCTGGAACAAACATATCCGTTATACCAAGACTACTGTGTATTTTTAATCAAAAATAAAGAAAGGTATATTATTGCAAAATATTTTTTGGGTTTTACAATTATTTTTGATCATGCTATTATTATTATGACCATGTTTTTTCTATTTTAAATAATTGAATTCGAACGGTCACACAATATAAAAAAGATCGCCAATCGATTTTGTCACATGTGACAAATTCAAATGTCAAAAAAAAAATTGGACTTTTTTAATTGTTTTTTTAAAATCTAATATTTCAAATTTTTAATAAATGACCCTTTACTATCCCTTCACTGCTTTCTTTAAAATAAAAAAAGGAGCAATTGCGGCGTACCACAATCACTCCAACTACAAAAAATTACGCGCTCGAGATACCCATAAGGATATTCGGAGTAGTAGTCACCAGGCGTTGTGCAATGCCAGCAACCATCACCCGTACCGCCACCTTCTTGGTCATGGCAGTACCGCGCCAGGTAAGTATGAAAATCAAATGTCACAAAACTAGTTCATTTATGTATAAATCCAAAAATTATGGGATTTTTTTAATATTTTGTGCGACTTACTATTATAATTTTTACGGCAATTTTTTATATTAATATTATTAATATTAACAAAATGTCTTCACCAAGACCAAAAAAACATCATAATAAAAAAAATGAAGAAGATAGCCATATAAAAAAACATCACAAGAAAAAAAGTCATAAACGACAACGACATTCTGATAATGATTCAAATGAAGATATCAAATATCCAAAAGGATTTAAATGTATTATAATAATAATTGATATATAGTTTAATTTATTAAAACAAGATTTGATAATAGCAAAAAAGTCTATTAATTCCATACATAAAGACTCACGCTATCATTATTTAGATATATCAGAAGATGATTATTATTTAAAATCAACAGAATTTCGTCTTTGGCTGAGAGAATATAAAGAGAAATTTTTTGATGAAATGAAAACTGAAGAAGCTCATCGATACTTTAAAAAATTTGTGAATTATTGGAATAAAGTTAAATTAGACAGTTAGTATATACACTTGTATAAAGTTTTTATAATCTTTTTATTGAAAAATAAAAAATAAAAAATAAAAAAATTATTTATAGAAAAATATTATGAAGGAATGCGTTCTTCACAATTAACTAATTCAGAAGGTACTAGATATAAATGGAATATTAATGTAAATCAGGATGAACTTGATGTTATTAAAAACTCTGTAGATAGACAAACAAATGTAAAGTTTGTTACTGAAGTACAAATGAGGTCAACAAATAACAGGAGTAATGATGAGTCAAGATCTTCTAGAGTAATTGGTAATAATAACATTCACAAATTAGATATATTTAATGGATTAGGATTTCTTATTATTGTTAGTAATATAAATATTTTTTCTTAGGCCCAACAATGCCACCTCCAACAACTAAAAGATCTTATGATATTGACGAAGGTATATTTGCCTGACTTTAAATATTCTTTTTTATTCTCATAATAAACTAATTAAAAAATTATGTATGAATGTTTTAATTCTTATTGAGATTTTCAGGAATGGATGAAGAGGATAAAGAACGTTATGAACGTTCTTTAAAAAAAAAGGAACAAAGAGAATTTAGAAAAACTCATAATGCTGTTTTGGATGAATTGTTACCAAAACCTACAGGTAGTATTATTTTATATATATATATATATTTATAATTTTATTATATATACTTTTACAAATTATATATAATTATATATAATATATAGGTAGAGAAGCAATGATTGAAAAGAAAAAAGTCAAAAATGCATATTATAGAAGAGAAACGAGTCCAGATGTTGAATTAAATGATGATGATTTAATTGGTGGTGGTGATGATTTTCAAACAAGGTAAAGTTGGGATTAGGACATACATTTGCATATGATATGATGTGCATGTATTTAATTAATCATAAATTTTTGAAAAAAATAAATTAGACTTACTTCTTATAATCGATCAAAAGAAATGAAGGAAAAAAAAAAACAAGAGCAAAAAGCTGAAAAAGCAGAAAGTCTAAAAGAAAAGGCTATTGCCTATCAAGCAAAAGAAAGAGATACTATTGAAATGTTTAAAAGAATGGCTGAAGAACAACGTAAAGCTGGTAAAGGACTATGGGGTCAAACTGATAACAAATGATAGATAAAAAATTTATGAAATACACATATATATAGGTAAGTCATATTTTAAATTTTAAATATATTAACAATAATAAGTAGAATACTTTTACTATTATTATAATATAATAACATATATAAATAAATTATAATTTATCAATTTATTTTGGGGAACAATTATTATTGTTAAATATCAAATTTACTGAATTGAAATAAGCAAACTTTTTTCTTTTGTTTATTAATTGATTTTTCAAAAATTTTTCTGGAAATATTATACCCAGTTTTATTTTTGAATTCCTATGAGGGTGATTTGTTATAAAATTCAGGATCTCAGGCAAAAATTTCCACTTAACTATTGTATACAATTGCAAGTTGTAATGTCTGCCAACTTTGACAGAACTTTTTTTGGCTTCAAATTCTCAGTTAATGCATCGCCAATGATGGTTTAAGTCCTTAAAAAATCAATTCCAAAAGATGGAATGAATCCAATTATATATGTTGTACTTGGGTACTAGGTATATAAGAACTATTCTTTCCACTCTTGTGTAGCTACGCTTTCATTATCCATATTCAACTTGGAATGAATTCCTTACACAAAGTGCTTCAAAAGACAAAGGGCCCAAATGCAAATATTAGAACACACTGCTTGCTTTATCCCCCTTTGAATCAATGCCTATTGCACTGCATCTATATGTGTGGAGGTCAGTTTAACTTGACTTCTGTAAAAGAATGAATTAAATGCTATATAAATGTATTACTTAACAAAATAATTAAAAATTCTGAATTTTTTCAAATAATTCTTCCTTAAGTTCAATAATTTCAGGAGTGGTGCAATTATTTAAAATGCTAAGGCTCAATAATCACATATATGAGAGAATATTTTTAATAATTCCCTCAAAAACAATGCTATTGTTGATCTTTGAATACTGGAAAAGCAAGAGAATCATATACAGAGTAAAATTGATACTGAGCTAAAAAGACAACAAAATTAAGTGCTACTACAAACAAGAACAATAAAGTTTTTCATTCATTTAAAAAGACACAATAAACCATATTTTTTTATTTTATAATGATGAATTGTTCTTTGTTTACTTTTTTTTTTATGTGGTTGTAGAGCTTGAATTTAGAAATTGTTTAAATTCTTCCACTTCATTAGGAGAATTTTCAGGTATAACTACAATACCATCAGGAAGATTTAATGGCACATCATCATCATCATCATTGTCATCATCAAATCCATTTAATAATGGATCATCTTTTTGTGTTGGTATCAAATATCTTTTTCAAATATTATTATTAGTTCTAAAAATAAACTACCAAATTATAATAATAGTAATAATAAAATAAATAATAATCACATTGTATCTTTCCAGAAAGAATTACTTAAATCAGGTACTTTAATAAAACAATTCTCCTGTTTCATATGTTCCAATAGTTTCTCTGAATTCTCAAACAATTGATTACATGCCATACATGAATTATTTAATGTTTTGTGTCGAATATAATTTATTAATATGATTGTTTGATAAAAATCTAATCCTGCAAATTTTTTAAAAAGGATCCTACAAATGGTAAGAAAAAAAAAAGATTATATAAAATGAGATGATAACATCTGCAGATATATGATTACCTATATTTTTTTTGATTTTTAATAAATCAAAATCCATGAATATCCTTCATATGAAATTTGGTATCTTTGGTAGATGGTGATATTGTTTCACAAAATAAACATAATGTTGGTTGTAATTCTTCTTCATTCCAATCACCCCAAGAACTTTATATAAATTGTGATTCGTCACGTAAAAATAAATAAATAAATAAATTAACATGATAATGTGACTTACTCATCTATATTAGGATCTTCATCAGAATCGTATTCTTTTTCAAATTCTTCCCAATCTTTTGAAGGATCCTATTTATCACCATCATCATCATCATCATTATTATTTATGATTCATCATCATTATGATTATTATTATTTTACTTACTAAATATTCAGATTCTTCATTACACAGTCCATTATCTGGAACAGTTGTCATGATTATCCTTTTTTTTTGTAAGAAAAAAATCTAAATATTTTTCCACCCAATCAAATTTGTCGCCACTAATAATGGTTCATAGAAATCACATGATTTTTCTTATTAAACTTTTCTATTTTAGTTACCTTTTTCCTAACTGCGTTAGTCATTATGCCTCCATGAAAAGATTAAAAGCAAGGAAAAAAATTAATCTATATTTCTTTTATCTATTCATTTCCTATTTCATCTTGCCTATTCATCCAACTATTTGAGTGAATGTTTGGTATACTGTTTGCAACATTGAATTTAAATATAAAAATATTAAACGAAAGAGGCTATGTCACACATCCAACATACGATTGGACGGCACTTCAATAAATCCGTTTTATTTATCATTCATGTATATATATATAAATATTAATTTTAACAAACACATTAGATAAACAATAAATTTGATTTTTACTTTAATAATAATATAAATAAAAAATATATAATGTAAAATTTATTATCGTTGCTGGAGCATTTAATTTGATCATGTTTATCTGTTAAGATAATTCTATGACCAGATAATAAAGCCCTTGTTTTTTTGTTCTCCAGTAAATTTTTTTGGTGCTATTATTAATATATCAATCGCACCTAGCTGGTAGTTAGACAACACGCTTTCCAAATCACGCGCATAAGCCTGAACCCAGTCAACAGCCAGCTTTCGGACGGACAAGGACGTTCACAACAGGCCGTCTACCGTATATTGGGCCTGATTACCCAATTGATGGCTTTCGCAGGCTGTGGCCACGAAGTGCTTCCATTTTTAATCCTAGTGGCAGAGTAATTTCAAATATATAACAATTCAATAAACACTCAGTGAGCACTTCCTTTTCAAAAATATTTCCTTTCGCGACGGACATTACTAATATTGATATTAAAATTAGATTTTGGATTTAAATTTTAAACTCACCTTTTGATATGATTTGTTTTTAAAGGAATGACGCTTTTCTATTTTTTTAATACTAAAGAAAACTTGATTAATACTAATTTAAGGAAATTTGTGACATTAAATTATACATGTGAGGAGGAGGACATTAGAATTTTTAATTATTATCCAATTACACGTGTGTGTGATAATGGTTTTTCACTTTCTCAATCTTTTAAAAAGTGATATTGAAAAATAATCTGAGCTTTTAAGTGAAAAGATGGTACCATTTTTGGATTTATGTCGAGAATAAGACCCTTCGATATTCATTAGAAAGCTTTAATGGGGTAATTTCATTTTACTTTAATAATAATATTCTTTCTGTATTTATAAAATATATATTAATGCAAAAAAAGCACCTCTAGTTCTTAATAAATAACACTTCTTCTTCGGAATCATTTTACACCAAATAATAATGCTATTATATATGTTTGTCAATGAATGCTTCGTCCTGGATTCTTTGTTTAAAATTGATTGTTTTTCCAAAAAAAAAAGCGTTCATTTGATGATTTTTCTATCAAAAAAAAAAATTTTTTTTAACAAAGATAGAAAAGAAGAAAATGCTCGTGTATAATGGATGATGGTTTTACAAGCTATTCTAGTTATAAATATTATTTCTTTTAGTTTTAGCGACACCTTCACGATTAATTTTTATGTGTATTACTGTCTGTTTTAA